TGAATTGCACAAAAAGTAATCATTTATTTAAAAATTATGTTCTAAGTAGTACTTAAAAATAATTATACATTTAATTACGTTTTACAAATTATGTATGTGTATATACAGAGACACATGTATAAATATTGTATTATATATGTAATATTATATGTTTAAAGTGTGCCAATTACTCCCTTGTTCAAGTTTTAGCTAATGAGAATTGAGAAGCCTAAATTCAGAAAAATATACGTGGTAATGTAGAAGTCATGGGTTGTATTATAAAGTGGAGGTTGAATGATCAATAAGCAGTATTCATAATTGTATTACTATAATAATACATGTAACTCCTGAATGATCCATCATTGTTCAGCATACATTTGATTGAAATTTGTATGAATATATCACCTTAAATAATCCACCCAGTTTCAAATATGACTATATATTGCTCGTCTTTTTCTCGAGATGGACTTTTGTCACACAACTGCATATTCATTGTTGTGTTTTGTTTTCTCTCTTAAAGGCTGCTATTATGGGGGAGTGGTCCTTTCTGTCTGATTTGTTAGACAAGGTGCAGTTTCACTCCACCTTCTTGGGAAAGGTCTGGATGAGTGTTCTTTTTCTCTTCAGGATCTTCATTCTGGCAGCTGGTGTCGATAAAATATGGGGAGACGAACAATCAAACATGAAGTGTAATATCCTAACGCCTGGATGCAAGAATTCTTGCTATGATCACACCTTTCCTTTGTCTCATACACGCTTCTGGGTGCTCCAGATTCTCACTGTCTCCACGCCAACGCTTATCTATCTGGGCCACGTCTTACTAGTGATTCGTAAAGAGAACAAACGGAGAAGACGCCTGGAGGAAAAAAGGAAAAAGCAGGAGATAATTAAAGCCCCCAAGTATTCAAATGAACATGGCAAAGTGCACCTCAAAGGCGCCTTGCTGGTCAGCTACACGTTTCAATTGCTGTTCAAGATTTTGCTTGAAGTAGCATTCATTGTAGGACAGTACTACCTCTATGGCTTCATACTTATGCCAAATAAGGTTTCTTGTTTCAAGGACCCATGTAAGACAGAGGTACACTGCTTCATTAGTCGCTCCACAGAGAAAAGCGTCTTTATTATCTTCATGTTAGCAATGGCTGTGTTTTCTGTCATTTTAAACATTGTGGAGATATTTTACCTGATGATCTCAAAGATAAAGGAGAGGAAAAGAAGGACCAGCAGCTCCATTCCACCAGAGGGATTCAATCTCAACAACCCAAATCCCAATTCAACTGAGAGAGTTACATGGTGTTGAAAGACAGTGAGCTGACGTAAACATTGACATAGGTCACTATCGTTAGTTACAACATCACTCAACATCTTCATTTGAATTTTACATCTTATTTCAGGTTTAAAATAAATCACCCACATCGGTTAAATTGTACATAGACAGCCAACGAGGTTAAATGCAGAAACTACTGAAAATGAGATGTGCTCGTATTCAAAGTTATAAACTGCCGGTATTAAACGCTCACATACTGATCCATCTATCTTTAAAAGTACTAGTAGTTACTAGTAGTTAGGGGTTATCATGGCTAAGCAAGCACACACCTGACATGTACACTACATTCCCATGTTGCGCATCAATTTTCAACCGGAAAACCAGAAACGTAACCTTCTCTTGAACATGATCTACAAATGTCATTTGCAAAGATGTTGGGATTCTAATATCTGTTATTTGGTCATTTACTTCAACTTTCATCTAACAGCGAAAAACAAAATAAAGTGTCCAAGAGCACCTCAATCATGAACAAAATTAAACAGGTTCTAGATTATAATTCTCTCTGGATTTTGTGTTGTTCTCTAATTCTCCCGTATTTAACTTGTTGTGTAGAGGTACGGGGAAATAATTATAAAAATACACTAAATTCGCTTTTCATATTACAAAAAAAGGACAATTGGTATTACACATAAAGTTCAATATCCTCTTCATACAAACTTATTTTTACAGTCGAAATTATTAAAAGTTCATGACAGGGATGAGAGGGGTCATTAAATGACAAGAGGTGTTTTCAATGTGACAAGTCATCACTGTTATATATTGTTGTTAATGTGTATTACATATACTCAGGAAGAAGCTACATAACTACATGACTGAGCTATAAATATGTGAAGGGAGTGGGAGTAAATGCTCCATTTTGTATATATGTATTCATGTACTCTAAATAAACCATCAATCAATCAAACACTGAAATGCTATGTGTCAAGTTGGTCCTGGTATTGGAAATGGTGCACATTTTAAAAATACAAGTCAGCAAAGTTCAGGAGCAGCATACTGTTAGCCAGTTCTGAATCTTGGCTCCCGTGTATGAGCACTGACCCATGTAGTAAGCCTTAATTATACAGTGTTGATGGGATAGCTAAAGGGCGCAATGGCAGAGTAGTCATTCCTCTTATATTTCTTTGAAGTATGCTTGATGATCGGTGTCTGGGTCGCTTACACAGTTTGTCCTTTGTAATATAACGTCTCGGTGAACCAGTCTGCGTAGTCACATAAACTCCATGCTCATTGTGTGATGATAAATTTTTTGCAGACGTGAACCCAAGTTGATCCTAGCTAACTTGCAGAAAGTATAATCAAGGCCTTATCTCTTGTTGCAGGTGCCTAGTTAAACATTACCAAATATTCTCTGAATAACATTTTTTTTTTTAAATTGATTGCAGTTTACATTATATGTTTGAAAATATGTGTTCCAGAACACATATTTTCACATAATAGGCTAAAACAATGCTAACAAAAAGCTGAAAAAATATATACATAATTTTTTAGGTTTTAGGCGATCGTGGCTCAAGAGTTGGGAGTTCGCCTTGTAATCGGAAGGTTGCCGGTTCGAGCCCCGGCTTGGACAGTCTCGGTCGTTGTGTCCTTGGGCAAGACACTTCACCCGTTGCCTACTGGTGGTGGTCAGAGGGCCCGGTGGCGCCAGTGTCCGGCAGCCTCGCCTCTGTCAGTGCGCCCCAGGGTGGCTGTGGCTACAATGTAGCTTGCCATCACCAGTGTGTGAATGTGTGCGTGAATGGGTGGATGACTGGATATGTAAAGCGCTTTGGGGTCCTTAGGGACTAGTAAAGCGCTATATAAATACAGGCCATTTACCATTTACCATTTACTTAAAACTGAATATAAATAAAGGCCTTTAAGAAAAATATTAACAAAACACATGGATGTGTCTCACATTATGTTTATTTTATTTGCTGTACATAAAGATCTCGGTGAGCAACTCACTTTTAACAGGTGTTAAATGTGTTACACGTAGGTGTAATACAGAACAAGCAACTAAAAAAAAAAAAAGTTGTATTGAGCACATGTAAGGAAGGATATCTTACTATTATGAACACAGTACTTTTTCATTGTACAGGAGTAGAAAAAAAAAATAAAAAAATCACACTGCAGCTAGCTGGTGAAAACTGTGTGACTAGACACTATGCTAAAGAGCTAAACTCAAGTTTATATCCCAGGAAACTTTTCTGTCAAACTTATTCATTTCCTACAACCAGATTATGTTTTCTTCAGGAAAAAAGTTCTTTATCCACAAACATTGTGATTTCAGACTTTGGCTTTTTTCAAAACCTCTTGGTCCCAGTCAGTGTCAAGAACATCATTATTTAACTCGGCAGACTCAAACAGAGACAATCCTGAGAATAGGCCTTTGGAACCACTACTATTACTATCCTGAGGACTCGTAAAACACTTTCTCTTTAGACTGGCAGTCCTTTGACAGTTAACTGAATCCCTAGTTACCATTTTTACAGTGTTGTTTTCAGTATGACTGAATTTGGTCTGTTTTACTTTGCACTCGGACATTGTTGTACTCGTTGACTTCATCCCTAGTTCACATTTCTTTGCTGGTGTGTAATCTGTTGCTGGGGGTATGGTTTGGCACTTCTTGCCTATGTGGTTGGCGATGTTTAGAATTTTGTGGACTTTTGAATTAGCTCTCAAACAATCAGCATCACCTTTTTTAAGCGTACTCTTTTCCATTTTTGTTTGAGCTGTTGTGGGTTCACTTGTCCAGATAGATGAGAATCCTGAGAGTTTAATTTCTGAGCTTGAGGAAGTTATACTGGTCTTCATCTGTTCTGATTGTAATGTAGTTTGATTAGTGATGCAAGCACTTGATTTTGAAAGTGGGGTGGAAGTAAATACATCTCTGTCATCACCAGTGCTGACGCTGGTTCTCTGACACAGGTGTGCGTCATTATGACTAATTGGTTTCTTTGTGTTAACGCTCACTGTCATTTGCTTTTCTGGACTGGCATTATTGTTATGGTTGTCAACTGAAGTTCTCATCTTACTTGGTTTGAACATGAATCTTGACAACTTTCCACGCAAGTCTATGTGTGTTTCAGCTTCGACTGCCATTTTCTCCCTTGGAACAGCGCTGCTCTTCCTACTTTCAGTCAGGTGCAATTTGTCCTCCTTTACATAGCTGTCTTTGTCAGTGGACAGGTTTGTCTCTAGTACATTTTCACTTTCATCCCCAAACACCAGCCTTTCTCTGTGTCCTTTTCCAACCTCTTTGTGAAATCGCTGATGTTTCAGGTCCAGTTGCCCAATGCCTTTATCTCCCATATTCTTAGAGTCCATTGTGCTTCTAGAAACCTTTTGAAAATGATATCCCAATGGCTCTGGATGTGCTTCATGCTTCTTTCTCTCATATTTCAGTATCTCCTCTTGGCTTTTAGAGATTTCTTCTGTAACGCTTTCATTTTTCTTACCTTGTATGTTTTGTTCTGAAACAGAGGTAATATTTCCAAAAACAACTGGAGCAACGGTCCTTCTCGAAGTCAACTTTTCAGATCGACAGCTTGATTGTCTGGTTACTTTACACACGTCTGTTCCACTTGAAATAGTTTTTGTATTTTCTTGAGGTGTAGTTATGGGTGAGGTCCTATCATTTGGGGACAGTGACAGAGAGGTGTGGAACCAGTTCGAGTCACTCCTCACTGTATTACCACTTTCCAAATTGCTAGTGTGTGTTTTGGAGTTTGCGTCACTGAGTAGATGCTTCAGTTTAGTAGTTGATGAATCACATTCAGGAGACTCTGATGTCTGGCTTTTTGACCTTAAGAGAAAAACAGCCTGCAGTTAAAATGATGATAGCTCCAAACACTCATGTGCACAAAGTTGAATCCATAAATAAACATTTCAAATCTGCTCCCAATTTGAACTCCACTGGCTACATTCATCACAAAGAATCATGTCATTAAGTGTCAAAGAATAATTATCTTATGTGTTTTTGTATACGTTTTATACAAGTAAAGACAGAAAATGGGGCCTAAAAGACTATAGATTATCAGTGGACGTCAAATCATTAGGTCATGATTTTGATGTCATGGGGGATTTCTTTGCAGAAAAGAGACAGTTACTAGCAGCACTGCTTATGCATTCAAATGTTGTGTAGCAGGAGGTAATAATCTAACATTGGGATTATCTTTGAAAGTTAACAAATTAAAAAAAAACAACAACAACAAAAAACAAAACAAAACACCAATTTACTCACCTGGATAGTCTGTCTCGCTCCTTCTTAAGGAACAGTGGGAGGTTCAGTCCTTCGAGCAGTATCTGACACTGAGTTTGATACTGCTCAACAGGGTCAGCAGGAAATGAGGTGAATAAAGTATTCACATTTCCCTGCAGAGCGCCACCCTAAAAGAAGAACGTAATATGCAGTTACAGACTGACACAGCAGCGTGATGACAACACACCACAAAGTGAATGATATCAACCAGCTGGAAAACAAAGGAGACTAGAAGTGAGAATGTCATCTGTAAACTCATTTTACATTGTGGTCCACATACAGCCCACTTTACTTTTAAGTGGGCCAGAATGCTGAAAATTAGTATATCAAAAAGAAGTGTGACTTCATCACTCATTTACAACAAGTGAATGCTGCTGTAACTTATGAAAGCTCTGTCAGCACTCACTCTTAGATAGTGATAACTTTTCACTCGTTTAATTGTTTATCCATTTCTTGATTACTTTGGTGTAGTATGAATAGCTGTGAGAGTCTTTATAAGCACTTCACCAAAATTTATGGAAATACAATTCAAAGTTTATGTCCTCCTCTACATTTTCAGAGATGTCCAGTGGGCCAGATTGGAGTCTTGCCAGACCAATGCTGCAATTAAAGTGGGAGCTTCAACACAATATACAACGAACAGATTGCTTGCAGTATTGTATACAACTTTAGGCTAAAGCATCAAGTCTAAGCTTCAATGTGAGTAGATTTTCAGCAAGTAAAACTGTTTTAGACACGGTTATGTTAGGATTCTGTTTCAGTAAAGGCAATGAAAACCAAAAAATTAGGCAAGAAATGATCAGATGTGGAATTTATTTTTTCAAACTTAACAGCTGGTTTCATTCAAAAAAATTGCACAGACTTTAGTATCCTACCTTTAGTAAACACCGCTGCTAATTATTTTAGTATAATGATCATAGTACATACAAGTGGTGTGAAAACGTGTTTGCCCTGACTGAGCATAAATGCCAGGATCAGTACTACAGTCAACCGATAACAACAATTTTTTCTGGCAAAACTTCTCCTGTTTCTCCTAAGAAGTATAAAAGAGGGCTATGGTATCCGACCCTAGAAAACCACCAAGTCATTGGTCCAGGTATGTGGATGACACCTGGGTGAAAATCAAATTTCAGGATGTGCAACAATTCACGGATCACATTAACTCGCTGGAAAACCACATCAAATTCACCAGGGAGGATATGAAAAGTTGCTGGTTAGCCTTCTTAGACTGTGAGATCGCCATCAGTAATGGGGGACATTTAAAAGTTGATGTGTACTGTAAACATACGCATACGGATAGGGCTGTGCGATATGACCAAAATCCGTCCGATAACGATATAAATCACAAAAATTTTACATTTTCTGTAAATTATGTGAATCTCGGGCAGCTCGACTTGCATGAAGTGTTTCCAGCTGGGCGTCGTGTACCTGGACTCGAGTGTTTAACCGATGCATGAAACGATACATTTTTAGACATAAAGTTGTAATGGCCGCCATTTTCCTTGTGAGTATTTATTACACGACGTGCTGCCGGGAAAAGCCTGTTCTAACGTTTGAGTCTAAGGTTTATTTTTTAGCACCTGACGGCTCTTTTTTGCTTCTCATCCGTAAATAATCTGCTCTTTCGCGTGATTCAGTTTATT